GGGACTAGTATAAGACCCGGTACTAATCAAGGGGGGTACTATACCAGGGGGGTACTAGAACCAGTGCTATACGGTAATTGATCCATGACGTCAGACGTATAACATTTGACTCTTACATCTTCTTTCTGACGCAAACAACCTAAGACTGTATTTACTAACATAGTGCATATTTGAAAGTGCGCTGCGTCATCGTATACAGTCTCCATGTAGTAAGATGTATTATATATATAGATATTAATATGAATTTGCTTTCTTTATATATAATTAATGAATCTATTGGCTAATATCGTTAGCTGTCACCGTAGAGCAAGTATCGGGTAAAAAAATCTGGATCTCTCTTCACCGATTACTGGAGATGTGGATAATAAAGACTGCAAATAACGCCGAATATAATGTCTTTCTGCCTAATTTGTTGATAAATATGTAAATAAGGCATATCACATAATTTATTTGTAATGATGCGTAATATGAGTTAGTTATAATACACGTACAACATAGTTCCGTCTGCGCCTTTTCTCCGAAGACTTTTGTTTGATTAAAATTTATTTTTGACTTCACTTCATCGCCTCGCTTGTTAAGAATGTCTTACGAAAATCAAATCATTTACGACTGTTTCGGCTCCTTTTGGCCGAGCAGCCAGATAGTATATTGTAAATTATTCTCTTTTGAGTAATGCACGTTGAAGTCCCAAAGCCGTTTATGTTAACGCTTTAATCCGTGAGGAATTTATTAAATTACGTCGCGTTAAGAGAGTCACAGATTATACGGCCGTCGAGATTTCAATATCGATCCAGAGTCCACAGGAATTACCATATTCTGCTAAAAATATTGAAGAAAAGTGTTAATGACGCTAGGATACTTGGCTTTAGAATAATAATTTTGATTAGTGTTTAACGGTCTTTGTACATGTTAATTGATGTTAATAGAGAAATTTCAGTATAACTGATGTTACAGTATATACATTTTATGATATATTTATTATCCCCCATTTGTTAATGAATCAAATATGCTCGAGCTTACATTTCAAATGGCGCAACGCACTGTCAAATGGGTGAATAACGGTCTTAGGATGTTTTGCAAAAACGTTATGTCTAGAAAGTCTTGAAATATCAAGGATTATACGGCTGACATCATGAATTAGTCATAATTAGCTAATATGCAACGGATAAACCTCAGGGTATTAGTAAAAATGGGACTTTACTGCAGATGTATCAAAATTAAAACGAAACTTTTGCGTTAATGTTTACTCTATTTGATGGAATAATAATTACTATTATCATTTTGTCTGGGATCACATTCTACTGACTTTATTCTATTTATTAGCCATGATTGATTATTTGACAAACATGCAACATAATAATCAGTGCGCAGAAATTCGCGTTTGTCAAAATATTTGGTACTGTGTATAGTCACGTGGACACCCCTCAAACGCAAAGCGAACTAACAATAAACCGGACAGGTTAGAGAAAAGGTATGCAGGGGAGAGAGAGAAGCTGGAGCAACAGGCGAATTTCTTAAAGAAAAAGAAGACGTCTCTGTTGCATAAATTTTGCCGAAGACATCAGATCGAGCTAAAATCATCGAGGTTTGTTAGACACTATATGCAGGAAATTTTTTCCAAATATTTGACTATTCCTGTCCTAAATTAGAAGCAGTAGGATACTTTTGCACGTTACTGTATAAAGTGTATTAATATTGTATTGACTATCAAATAATCTCACTAATCTAAAAACAAACTATTAACCACAGACAAATGTATACGATAAAAGTATAAAGTTTAGTCTATTATTGCATCATCCAAATTGTTGGCTCAACTTTGATACAATGCTCAAGCAGCAAATATATCTATAAATTAATAACTTTATATAGCTATTTGTAAAGATAAAGAATAATTATTTATCTTAATTATAAGCTATCATTTGAGAGTCAAGACACATGAGCGTCAAATTAGTAGCATTTATGTTGTTAAACTTAAATATAAGAAAAATAAATGCACCGCAACTATTAATTTAATGAAAAACTGTATCAATGCAACTACCGCACCTGAAATAAAATTTTCTCCGTAACCATTGGCTTCCGGGATTTCTTGAGTTTGCCTTGCTCCTGTTTTATTATATATTAATAAAATCTTCAAATTATCAATAACAAATCTGCTTAATTTCGGAGTTATCTTTAAGTCAGAGAACCATCTTCATTAACTGCCAACCGTATGTCTTTTCCCAAATAAATCACAACTATACTGCTTCCATATTAAATTTGTTTGCTATTCCAGAGTTGTTAACCGTTATGGACCGGACATTTCGTTGTGACTAAAATTCCTCGCGATAGTTAATCATTGTGGATAGTCTGCCATTAGTTATGTGCATTCTGGGATCTGTCACAAATTATATACTGTATATACCGTGAATATGAAACCTATTTAAATCGGCAATTAATATTGTAACGCGCTGTATAGTTGTACGCGCAATCATTTAGTTACATAATATGTAAAAAATTTTTGTAAAGTTAAAAACAACCAAATGCTTTTGTTTGTCAAAAAGATAAAACAACTGCTCTTTTCCTTTCTTTACCCAAAGTCAGTAACAGTTTATTTTTTCCACTAATAGCCATTTGAGAAATTTGTTTTTGTCTTCTAAATGTAAAATCTGTCATTTATTCATTCTAATTGTCAGTTAGCTATTTTTTCATATTTAATTAGTGGTGGAATATGTTTAATTTTATTCATAATTACCATTACTTAGCAAAAATATTTAATTTATAATGTCACGGTAATGCATTTACTTTTCATCTAAATTTTAGATATTAGTTAAATATTAGAGCCTTCGTATTTCCTAATTGCTCTTGAAAAAAAAAGCTTTGTCAGATAAAACTAACACTCTGAAATCGCAAACTAAATCAAATGTGGAAACGATATAGTTAGTGATATTATTCGAAAAACGACATACTAATATGGTTGACATTAATAAATCTTGTTCTCAAGCTCACGCACGACTCCTGAAATGACAGAATTAGAGAAAACCTTATAGAACACATCTTCTTAATAATAGCAATGTTGATTTTGCTGTAATTTTGAAAGTAGACAACATTTTTTATTAAACCAGTCACGCGTAACCAATAAAATGCTGACCGCTGTATGTTTGTCACCGCGTAATTATAATCGACGTCACATAAACCACTGGTTTATCAGATAACGACTTTTGCTAAGACGGCAAACAGAACTGTTGCCATAAATAAGTTTTACCTGTATAAATTGCGTGCGCCGCAAACTATATACAAGTTTTTGTAGGACATTGTTGTGAAGAGAGTCTGCACACTTTGTATGATTCTAATTCTCAATATGGGTGTAATAATTCAGACATTCTGTAATCAATATTTCTAAGGTTATTATGCAATTAAACGTTCGAAAAAACTGTAGCTTGACAGACAATATATTGAATTATTGGGGTTGTTTCTTCTTTGCTCTTTTTTGTTGACGGCTTCTGGTTAACGAGAGCGTTTGTTTTATGGGAGAAAATTTTACTCTAGGGAAGATGTAGTATGTTGCGCCGGCACAAAGGTTTAATTGAAATTTATAATGCGCAATCGATGTGTATTTGTTCTTTTTGGTAATGTACAGTACTACAGTTTCAAATTAAATAATATTATCAATAAGTGTCTTAGAGCATGATATCGCATGCTCGAGTGTAGCTTCAAATATTGAGCTAACAAATACGTAAATTTACATTTTATCTTAAATATTTATATATTTTACGCAAGTTCTCCTTAGATTTAGCGAGAATGTTTGAAGTCGATATTATATGTTTTACATTTCGATATGTAAATTTATTGATCCAATACATCGTACCCCGGACAACACATCATTAACATGTCTTTTAACTACTTCTAGCATATTAATTCGACAGACTTGATCCGCAACTGAGGATTAAAGGCGGCGACTCCAGAGCCGGTGAACATGAGTCCTTTGCAGTTTACATCATTGTAAAGTTTGAAACCAACGTTGTTGGCAGCCCTGGCTACACCTATGAGATTTGTCGGACCAAGTCTGACGCAGCCAGATTGACCATTGATTTTATAAGTAGACTGACCAATAAGACCTAAAAATGGAAAGTTTTTATTACCACGAAATACCTTTACATCATGAACAAACGTTACAAAATCTTGTATTTACTTACTGACGGTACATGGTGTTTGAGCATAGACTCCAGTGGTCAAACTGGCAATCAGAAATACGAACATCGGTTGGAATTTCATTTTATTTTTATCTTCCCAGAAGATGGTTCGCTGTTGGAATCTTTTTATTTGTGAATAGGTTCAACAAGATGTATTTTGTTGTCCACAATAAGATGCGTGAGCTGGCTGCAGGTTCCTTTTTATAAGAACTTGGATGTTATAAAAAATATGTTTGCAAAAAGAATTATAGCTCATAACTATTTTTCAAGTTTTTTATCCCAAATCAGATCGTTTGGTACTGTAACTGCTAAGCCATAATGTTGGGAAAGCATCCTAAGTACAATAGCGTGCGTTAGCGTTTGATTGTTTATTATACGTAAAGTAAATTTTAGTACAGGAACTTTTTTAAAAATATGTATCTGCACTATTAATTCGTTATTGGTCATGAGAGATTGCTATCGTATAGTAAATTTTCGATTCGCAGTTGATGTGTTTCATTTGTTATAGGGAAAAATGAAACCATACAACGTTTGGAGAATATATATATAACTTTTTTTGTTTGTGTTCGTCTAAAAAGAGAAAGAGAACGTTATCTCATCTCTATTGCTTCTCCTTTTCTGCAGCCGTTAACTTAAATTAATTGATGTAATAAAGCTACAGGTAATAAAATTTCGTGCACCCCCATGACGTAATGCAATTTTAATAACCACTAATAACGGTAAACAATTAAGCTTTTTCTGATGAAATCCTTTTCGACAAATTTCTCATTTTCCAAGTAAAAATCGTGAATAGTGAAAAATAGTGAATAAAATGATGATGAATAGTAAATAATAACGATTAGTAATAAAACTGGTAAATAATAAATGGACAAAACATTAAACCGGAGGTGCATATCATACCCGAAATGGAATATCACGTGCACGAACGATAATCGCTATTGCTATTGACAATCTCCTAGTCCTTATTATCAAGTCGCAAATAATAACAATAGCAATAATTCATATTATCTTATCATTACGTGTTATAATTGATAGAGGACTTAAAAATGCAAGTTATTTTTATCTAATGCTTGCGTTTCATTCATCTTTCCTTTCGAGTAAACAACATTCTCTCCCACTATGTTTCACAAGCATTATAACTAAATCGCGTTATCGATATGTGGAAGAATAATTTTTAATATCAATTATAATTCTTGGCACTCGCACGCAAATAACAATTACACAACATCTTCTTTACTGCATTAGTCTTCCATAAATACAAATAACGAACACTTGAAAAGTCTAATAATTTATACTACCAACTACCGTTAATTCTTGGCAGCCCTATTTACACTCAATTTTAATATTTAATTTGTTGGGGGCAGCTGGATGACTATAGTAAAGATTCAACAGTATCAACAATTTTGTAATTATTTTTATTATTAACTAATGTTTTCCCTATTGTCTGGAATAACTCATTTATGTTTTGATATTATTGTTGTCTTTTTTATTATTGACAAGGAATATAATTGTATAACAAAGTCTTATTACTATTATCCGAAGACATATTCTGCTCCCAATTTATTAATAAAACTAGAGATTCCGTCAGGTTGGCTTTCAGTAATTATAATATATTTATATTGTTTAAAATTTTACTATTTGTAACAGCTGCATTAAATTTATTAAATTTATGTTGACCAAATGCATAAAATATGATGTTTTACGGGTAATCCATTTTACTATAATAACAATAGCCTCTTGGATGCAAAATGCTATTTGCACCTTTGGAATGCTTTTATCCAAATTCACCACAACTGTTATATTAAATCATTAGTACTAATAAACACCATTAGCAACCATTTGGGCTTTGACGATTCCAGGATTAG